ATTTTATTTATTTTTGTGTGTGTGTGTGTGTGTAAAAAAATATTTTTTTTCCCCTGAGATTTTTAGTCTGAGAATTGAATATTCAGTCATCCTGGCTACACTCTTATTTGTCGTTTTTCTCTGAGGAAACACCTTTGTTAGGTCAGCTGAAGTGTGTGTGTGTGTGTGTGTGTGTGCGCGCACGTGCATGTATATATATATATCCTGAAATAATCCCACAGAGGAGGTGGTAATGGAAATATGTTTAAGTGTCTAATTCCACAGAATGTAGCAATATTTCCTCTTTCACTGGCATTCAGTCTAATACTGTACGGGCCTTGGATGAAAAATGAGTTGTACTGTAGTAACCATTTTAGGTCATTCCAGATACTCATTTATGTAGGATTGGTGCCAAGGAAATGTTTTAGTCTTTTTACTCTCTGGTACCAGTGCAATGTATGAAGCTATGTTAGATTTAAAAAAAAAAAAAATCATCTGAGGGGAAATTGGAGTAGGCCATAGTTGTGACCAGAAGCAATAGCTTAGTAAGTGTTAGTTCAGATCTGCGTTCCTGTAGCCCATCTTAAGTGGTGACAGAAGCTGATATCAAGACATCTTTTTATATTTATTTATATATACACACACACACAGTAATAGTCCTTCTTTCCCAACTTTAACTCTGTAGAATATCCTGAAAAAAGAAATGTAGAGTATCGTGAATGCAAGGTTTTGACCCTGAAGAAGTAGGACAGCTGTTTATTTTCATTTCAAATGTGTGTTACTGGAAGAGCCATGTAGCTAGAAGTTCAGACGTCCACATCAACAGTTTAGCCTTAGTCCACTTTTCTTCATTCTATATTCATTGTTTGGCTTTTTCTCATGAGTTTTGTCCCTCTAACAGTATAAAAACTTTTCCAAGAAGGAGCAGATATAAATATGCTTGGAGTCTAGGATTCAGATATGACCTATCAAAGCTGATGCAGATGTTTGCAGCCATAGTTGTTTATGCATGAGAGATTAGTTTAAGGCTGATTGGGTACAATTCAGTGGATAGAATATATTGAAGTGGGAATGTCATGTTAATCTTCCACAGTATTTTTGTATTAATTTTATATTAATACAAAAGTCAAAAAGGCCATACTGTATAAAGTGTCAACATCACAGCTAAGATTCAGTGCTCTGGGGGATTACAGGAAGCTCAGCTCTTACTCCATTAGTCAGACCAAAGATGATGCTATTCAAACAGATCCCTATAAGTTGCAGGACCAGCAATAAAAAGCACTATTAGTAGCCTGTATTAGTCATATGTCATATGTCATATTAGTCATATGTTACCTAACATGAAATAAGTATCCAGCTTTCTATAAATGCTTGCTTGGCAGAGATTCTTGATTGCCACCGCTGAACTGCAAGAAAATACAGCTCTTGAACCCGGTTGCTTTGCATGTACTGCTGCTCATGTTTTTGGGTTGCAGAGCCAGACAGTTGAGCAACCACAAGAGAGCTTTATCTCTTCCCTTCAGCCTCCTTCCACTTCTCTCATGCGAAGTAAACCACAATTCCAAGAACTCTTCAGACTAGAGAATAAGGAGCTCAATTGTACAAGCTTGTACATTTGGGGAGAGAGTCAAATCTTCATCTGTTCACATCTTGGTTATTGATCACTATTTTTTCAGAATGTTTGAGACTGCAAATGAAAAAAAAACCTAGTCTCATAGAACAAAAAGTGGTTTACAGTAAGGAATACAGAAAAGCTATTAGACAAGTGGAATTGTAATCTTACTCGTTGATTAAAAAGTAAACTCTAATTAGTACAATAAGACTTAAAGAATGATTTTATTCATTCCCTAAACCCACAAGAATTGCTGATGGTTGAGGATTCTGGGAGTTGTTTTTCAACTAGGGAGAACAAGATGGCTGGGCTGGCTCATTTAGTCCAATCAAACCAATGCCGTTTTCTTTGAAAGTGAGTTTCTAGACCAGTGTTTCTCAGCCTGCATAACTTAAAGATATGTGGATGTCAACTCCCAGAATTCTCCAGCCACTATAGATGAAATTCTGGGAACTCAAGTCTATATATCTGGAGGTTGCCCAGGTTGGAAATATGGTGGTAGACCTTAAAATTGTATACTGTGTAGTCTTCTGTGTATGCTTTCAGAAAAAGAGAGTCCTGTAGCTTTTTGTTGATTAATTTACAATGCTGTTAATTACTGTTACAGGACTCTTCATTTTTTATATAGGCTATAATTAGCTAAATCCTTTTAGGTTTATGAGTTCGCACAGTTACAAAGCCCTCTAGGAAGATCTGAAGCATGTGGTCTTCTGGAAAAGTCTGTTTCTGTTATGGAAAAACAGTAGCTTTTGATATGCGTGAGATGGCAATTGACTGCCATCTCTATTCTTCTATCATTCCATATTTATTCTGTGGGTACTTACAGCATTCAGAGATTGTCTCTTAGCTTCTCATGTCTTCATTGAGAGAAAATGTTGGTTTGTGAGCTAATAAGTTGTACACATTAAATATAAGCTGCTGCCTACATAACTCCATTTTTTAAAAAGGGCATCTCCAACTGGTAATGTGCACTCACTTCTATACAATTAGCAACAAAAGGGCAAGCTAAAACTTCAAAACTTAAATGACCTTTTGTTTTCTTGCAGGAAGCAGGGTAAACCCTCCAAGAGATTTTTAAAGAAATCTCTTATGTCGTTTCTTAAAGACCGCCTTGGCAACTATGGGTGAATACAGTCGGTTTATAGATTGGGACAAAATGGATGCTACAATCCAGGATCAAGATGCAAAGGAACTGACCAGCACAGAATTCCAGGACCTGAAACAACTGGCTCGCCAAGGATACTGGGCCAAGAACCACTCTTTAAGAGCAAAAGTATATCATAAGTTGATCAGTGATATCCCTTGCCGCACTGTGACACCAGATGCTCATGTCTACCGAGACATTGTAGTAAAAATTTTGGGCAAACGAAACAGCAGCACTCTTCCCCTTCCGGAATTTGTAGACAACAGCTTGGTTCCCACATACTGCCTGAATGCTGAGGGCATTGGGGCCGTCAGGAAGATCATCTCATGCATTGCAAGCCAGTTCCCGGACATCTCATTCTGCCCAGCTCTGCCTTCTGTAGTGGCGCTCCTCCTTCACTACAGCAGGGATGAAGCAGAATGCTTTGAAAAGGTTTGCCGCATCCTTGCCTGCAATGACCCATCCAAGCACTTCATTGATCAGACCTTCTTGGCTTTTGAGTCATCTTGCATGACATTTGGAGACCTGGTTAATAAGTACTGCCAGGCAGCTCATAAACTTATGGTGGCAGTCTCAGAAGATGTACTAGAGGTCTATTCTGACTGGCACCGGTGGCTTTTTGGAGAACTGCCTCTGATTTACATCGCCCGTGTCTTCGATGTGTTCTTGGTAGAAGGTTACAAGGTGCTCTACCGTGTTGCGCTGGCTCTCCTCAAATTCTTTCACAAAGTCAGAGTTGGGCAGACCCTGGAATCAGAAAATATACAGCAGGACATCCGAGCATTTGTGAGGGACATTGCAAAGTCGGTGTCTCCTGAAAAACTGCTGGAGAAAGCTTTCGCAATCCGTCTCTTTTCACGGAAGGAGATCCAGCTTTTGCAAATGGCCAACGAGAAGGCTCTTCAGCAGAAGGGCATAACAGTAAAACAGAAAAGGTAGCGGGATTTCAGCATCTCTCTATAGGCTTTTTTAATCTAGTAACAACACTCTTTCTTTATGGGGAATAAATATTGCTATAAAATCAGGTGTATCTGTGCATCCATCCTCAGTTACAGCCATTGTGAAAGTATAGATAATATAAAGATGTGTGTGTGAAAAAGATTTTCTGGGAGCTGGATATCCAACGAGCTTAAATTTTTAATAGGGTGATAACATAGTTCTAAGTTTAACTGAATTAAGAAGAGCAACCTCAGGTGGGTTTTTTTCTGTAATTTGTCACATTACTTAGAAAATATTAGGTTAAATCTGTAGAGTCTTCCAGGATATTTCCTGTATTGCACCAGAGCCAATCTGTGGCAAAATGGTGAACTCTGGACCAGTGGGCAGTATTTTCAATTCGTGATAGCAAGCACATAAGAAGTGAAAGCCCTCAAGTCTGTTTGATGGTTAAAAGATTGCCTCAGATTAAACATTGACAAACATTAATGCCTCTCAGTTCTTATATCTTGGAAAGCTGAATCAATGTTCTATATATTCCATATATTGCTAGAGTGGTGGCCGAAGCCAATAGTTGACAACAGATAATGGGATTTTATTTTTATTTTGGTATAATCTGAAGAAAAGCTAATGTTCTATCACAGTATGATATGGTTGGAAGGAGCTATTGAATCTAGATCCTTGTTCAGCACAGAAATCCAAACCAAACCATCCCTGACAGATGTCTGTCTAGTGAAGGAGATCCCAGCACCCCTCTGGATAGTGATTCCCCTTCCAACTGCTCCTTGCTGTTATGAAACTTCCTAGTGTGGGTCTGAAATCTGCTTTCTGGTAACTTAAATCGTGATTTTGGGGTCTTGTACTCTGAAACTATGAAGAACAGGTCTTATCCTTGTACGTGACCTCTTTTGAAACAAAAACTTCAGGGAAGGAAGGGTTTCCTAGCTGCTGACTGACCCAAAATAGAAAGCTCCAAATAACTTAGCAGCAAAATCAATAACTGATCATTTCACACACATAAAGGGCATCATTTCTAAAACTATATAAGTGTCAGTTTCCCCCAGTCTGATTATTTACCAACCTCCAGGTAATATATCCCATGGTTCTGGTTTAAAAAAGAAAAAGATACAGCTTGTAAAAGTCGATGCTAGAATGAATGTGAACTTTTAATGCGCTAGAAATGTACTGGATACTATGGTTTATGTAACACCTTCAGTGTACCCACGTATTTAGTTTCATTTAGCAGTGGTAAGAATCTAATAATAGCTATTGTCTTAAGAATCCTTTCTAAGGGCTCCTATAGTGTCTTGCTACCGAAATCATAAGACATAATCTGTAATAGCAAATGTATTGCTGATGCCTTGTCTTTAAAATCCCTGTGTTTGGGGAAAACAAAGATAAAAGGGATTTGTTGAATGGACAAATGAATTCAAGGCAAGTTGATCAGGAAAGGTAAGTTAAAGGTAAATGAACCAGAAGTCATAAGTTCTGTGGAGGGAGATTGCAAGAAGAGAAATGTGATCTAGAAAATTTGAAAACCACCAAAGGAACTGAGAACTGATTTAAAAAAAAAAAGTATATGTTTAAGTGTCTTTTATTTCACTATTGGTCTGTTCAAATCTTGTCCTGTGTTTCTTTGTAGGCCGTTTCCATGCACTTTGGTGGGGATGTCTGAAACTGCTGATCTTTTCTTGATTTCTCCTTTTTTTGTTTCCCTCCTCATGCCTTCTTGTTCTGTCAATTCCATATCTGCTGCATCACTCCCCTTTGCAGCAGTGCGTCCCCGGAAAGGTAGGTTTGAATGTTTGAATCTTCACGCTCTGCTTCTCTGATTTGATTTGGCTTCCAAATGGCTGTGACTGCTATGAGCGCTAAGGTGGCGGCAGCAGTAAAGCTTACTGTGCGTCGGTGGCAGTGGGGTAAAATTCAAGGCTGTCTCTCTGAAGATTTAATAAATGCTGCTGTCAAATTTGGCATGTAACGTCTGTATTCTAGGCTGGCTTTGTTTCTCTTCACTGCTACAAAGCTGCTGGATTTCACTGATAAAATGCACAATGCTGTAAGACTGCTGGAGTTCACAGGAATGTAGTTTCATTGACCATCAGAGGGTACCACAGGACCACTTCCATCTTCTTTGGAACTCATCAGAGGTGGGTGGGCAGATGTTAATTTCTGGGGTTTAGACCCTCTGTCAGGAATCGAAGTCATCTTCACACTTTGGATGACTATTTACATTTGTTTTAGAACCTATCCAGGTTCTGGTGCTCAGCAGTTGCAGGAAGGCATATATAGAAGCTATCAGAATGGTATATACAAAATTATATATACAAGAACTGTTGAGAACCATGCAGGGAGAATGTGATGTTAAACATGAAGCTCCTCTCTGTTTGAGTACATTAAACATGTTTTGAAAATGGTAGCTAACCATGTTCTTCACCATGGTTTTCTACCTAAGAAGGCATTCTTTTGATTTGGTCTCTTCTGACTTGTAATGGGAAGGTGGGTGAACTGTACATTCTCCAGGCTGTTGCAGAAATAGTCCTTAATCCAATTTCAGGCTTTCTGTAGTGCCACATACAAATCTCTGGAGGCATCATGGACATTAAATCTGGGCTATGTGGAAGAAGTTGTTGCCTTTTCCAATTGTCCTGTTGACCACCTACAGTAAAGTATTGTAGAAGAAGAGCTAGGTTAGTCTATGGTGGCAAAAAAAAAAAAAAATTAGAAGGTGTCTGGAAGCACCTTTTCTGACCAGCACATTTTATTAAGGCAGAAGTTTTCATGAGCTGCAGCTCGCTTCATCCGGTTGTCATCAAATGAAGTGAGCTGCGGTTCCCAAAAGTTTGCGTCTTTTAATATTCTCAGAACAGGTGCTCCCAGACTCCTCCTGATTTTTTGCAGTAAGATACTGAACCTGTTCTCATTCATTCTCTTTTCTCGGTTATAATATGCTTTTTCTTATTGTTCCATTATTCCAGTTCTCCCCAGGGTTTTAATATAGCCAAAAAGAGTAACACTGGCTTATTCTGACACTTGTTAAACTTTCTTCCTTTGTATCCTCTCAAGTCAGTCTGATCTTTGCTATATTCCCAGCTTTTGCATCTGAATCCCTAAAGATATCTTTCCCCTGCGCCTTACATTTTAACTCTGTGCACTAAGGTCCCATGCTTTTTTTAAATTTTTTTTTATTTTTTTGGCATTGGCTCCTTGTTCTTATTTCTCACCTTGGCAAGTGTCAGAAGCACATTCCACTGGGATGTGCTGGAAATCCTTTGCTTTCAGCAGCTCTGGGCAGTCTAGTGACAAGACTTTTTTCTTGGGGAATGTGGAAGGTGCAAATATGAATGTTCCATCTTACGCAGTAAAATAGCTGCCAGTAGGAATTTCCAATCATCCGGTGCACTAATCCTGGTGAAGCCTGCAGTGAATGGGAACATACTAGATGTGAACTATGTCAACTGCCAGTGGTCACAGTTGCAAGCTGCGCAGCCGTACAAATCAATTAAATATGTAAATACATTGGATGAGTGGTCATCCTTCGCATAAGCCTGTTGGTCAGGCTTCCCCTTTAGGCCATTCCTAAGCCCTTTTAGTTCTTAAAATGTGCATAAAGCAGTCCTGCCCAACTCAGGCTGTGGCAACAAAATAGGAGATTTGCATAAGCTTTGCCTAAGCTTGGCTAGACCTAAGGCTTAAGTAGTAGCACTACATTTCAGGGAACATGGACAGAGTAGTACCAATCAGAGGTCATGCTTAGTAGAGGAGTCAACCGTAAGATGTGAGAGTGGAGTCCTTGGTGCTCTCTGAGCTTGGTTTGCTTGCAGACGTTTCATTACCCAACTAGGTAACATCAGATATGAGAGTTCCTGATACTGGCTGGTCACTCTCAAGTCTTTGGGTGCAAAACTTTGCACTGTTGAAAATACCAATAGCTACTTTAGTGAGACTCTGTTTGAAGGTATAATCAAACACTGCAGTAACCATTGGAAATAAAATGTGTACCAGGTAAAAAAATATTTCGGTACTAAATAGCAACGCTCTGTCTTGCTTTTCTGTCTGACCACAGGCCGCCAAGGCAGTGGATGAAAAATGAAAATGTATAATACGTAAAACATTACTTTGAAAGAAACAGGTTTCTTTGCAAACCTATCGGAAGAGAGTCAATTGCCAGAAAATGTCTACTTCCCAGACATGAGAAATTGCTTCTTCTGAGGGTTTCTTCTGCTTACTTATTGAAATTTCCCTTTTAAGATCACTCACCTAGGAGAGAGTGTCACAGCTAACATTTCTACAGAAATGTTGCTTCAACCTGAGTTTACCCATTCTTTTATTTAATCCTTCAGTTCTAAGTATAGGAAGTGGGGAGAAGATCTCATGTGAATAGCTTTTCAGCCATTAAACCTTACCAGCTTATCTTTTCCTTCCCTGGGAGAGATCTGGTGTTTTTAGTTACAGACTTGGGCAGAGCAAAAGCCCTAGCATAAAATATGTGGTTTTGCAGAGAAATGTTTTTATTCTTTCTCTATTTTGCTGCTCCTGTGCTGTTTTTCTTTGGTGTTAAAGGATCTATCAGAAGTTACCTTTTCTAGTAGGAGGCCTGGAAATGTTATGGTAAAAAAGCAAGACAAAGGGTTAAAATAATGGACATATTTTCTGGGAGTCAAAGTCCATATATCTTAAAGTTGCCAAGGTTGAGAAACGCTGATACATAGCAAGAAAGGCTGGCATTAGCATTTGAATGAGGGAGAGTGGGAACAGACGTGCAGAGTTTGAAGATGGGTACTGAGGCTTTCAAGAGAGGTTGGTCATATTTTGTACCAAGATTTCTATCAGGAGGATGGTGGTGTGATTCTTCAATCCTCACTAAATATTTTATAGATTCAAAAGCTGCACCATGAAACCATGAGTTGTGCTAATATAATTACGGACATGAGTTGTGCTAATATAATTACGGACATGTTTATGTACTACATAAGCATATTCATGTTAAAGTAGGGGAAAGAATAAGGTGTCTTTAACAGTTCTCTTGAATTTCAAATCTTGTTGGCATGTAGAGTAACATATTCAAAACTTAGCTTGCTTCATTGCACAACCCCTGCATTCATTGTATCTGACATAAACTGCACTTAATCTAGCTTGGCTGGAAGAAAGAAATTGCTATGTTGACTTGTTCCTGGTTTATGTATGTCTCTGTACCCTGCTCTTCCTTTTTATGTGTTGGTCTCAAGTTTCTCATTGTCACCAAGACATTTGTGATTTCTTTTAACTCTTTCTTCCTACAAAATTAGTAGCCCTCTACTATCCTATCTATATTAGTCACCTATGGCATATCTACCAAAGAAAAGATATGCTGGTTGCCAATGCTTTTTTTAATCTTTTAATAGTGATTCTCTCTTGCCAGTTAAGACTTGAATTGGGTAGTATTTGCTTTAGTCAATTGTAATTTCTCAACCTTGCTTTTCATTGTTCCCTAGGCAGAATGTCCACTTGGCTGTTCATGCTGAGAACTTCAAGTCTGAAATTGTTGATGTAAAGAAGATGAGGGACATCTGGTCATGGATTCCTGAGCGCTTTGCACTTTGCCAGCCTCTACTGCTCTTCACCACCTCAGAGCATGGCTGCAGCCTAAACAGGTAGTAATTAACTTCCATCATTAAAAAAAAGAATTTGTAGTAGGAAAAAGTTATTGATGTTGTACCTCCATTGATTATGTGCCATCAAGACGGTGTTGACCTTTAGTAACCACCCAGATACATTTTCACTGGGACAGTCAGTCCCACATTTGGCCCTGCCAGTCTTCCAATGGTACACCCATCACCGCAGTAACTGAGTCCATCCACCTTGCTGCTGGTTGTCCTCTTCTTAGATCCCTTTTTCTCACATGAACTTATATCATAATTGGCCCACACCTTCTCATTCTTTCGATATTTATTTTATTACATTATAAGCTGCTTCAGTCAGAGGATTCTCAGCAGCGTACAAGAGCAACAGCAAGACCCAAGGCCACAGTGATAATGCAATAATGTACAGTAAAACCTAGTATAATTGACAATAAATCACAATATAATAACAATTCAGTTTCTGGCACCAGATACTCTGTAACATTCAAATCCCAAAGGCCTTCCAGAACTTCCAAGTTCTTTCAAGCTTCCAGAAGGCCGTAAGAGTGAAAGCTTACCTGGTCTGAGGGTGGGGGAGGGGGCAAACTGTTGCAGAAGAGATTAAGTATGTAATCCCAGAGAAATGGGATCCACAAGGAGCTTTGGGGCACTACAGTTGATATACCCATCCCTCCAAAGGAGTATCTTCTGTGAGATGAAAATATTTTTTATTTAGGTTCAAGACATAGAAAAGTGCACAGTCTCACTTTAGACACTTGAAAGTATCTATAAATTAATAAGGGCTCAGAAGATGCTATTAAATGTATTCTGTAGTAGTAATAATTCATATATGTGAAAGGAATGGTCTGTGATTTAGTGCTTGGCTGTAACTTTAGTTTAGCTTGAAACTTATAGGTGCTTTTTCTGCAATTTTTCCAAGGATTGTTTCGTCTTAAAGAGAATTGCATCAAAATATTCTTTCGATTAGAGAACATTATTGTGGATTTTGAAGTGGGGGGAAATAAAATGCTTGCTTTGATTGATGGAGCTTTTTAGTTCCTATGGATTGAACTTATCTGAATATTCGAACAGTGTTGAACTGCATAGATGATGATGATGATATTTTTATCCCACCTTTAATATCTATATCTATCTATCTATCTATCTATCTATCAATCATCCATCCATCCATCCATCCATCCATCCATCCATCCATCC